CTCCTCCTCCTCCTCCTCCTCCCCCCCCCAGTCCCGCCCCTTCAGGCTTCAGACAACCCTCCCTAGGCATTTTTTTCCCCTTTTCCTTTTTTTTTTTTGGCAAGACTGCATAACTCAGCTGAAGGACTCGGAGCAGTCGGAGAAACTTCAGAGGAAAGATAAAACGAAGTTTTGGAGGGGAGTCCCAGCAAGTTCTGGGCGCCGTTTGGCGAAAGCCCTTTCTGCTAAGTTAAGGTAAGCCCTTCCGTGGTCTCCTTCGCTTTTAGTTCTTCACCTCGTTATTTGTTGCACCAGCCTAAAAACAAGTTGCAAATGGAATTTTTTTTAACAGATCCAGATGTGGAGGGTTCAACCATATTTGCTTTTGGGATCAGTTTCCAAAAGGGCAGAACGCAGCATTTGCAAAGATTTAAATGTTTCATTTTCCATCAATTTCTTTCTCTCACTGCTTTCCATCTCAATATAAAGGGGAGTTACAGAGCCCTTGTTTCAGGGGCTGAACTTCAAACGTCTGAAAGAGAAATGGGGACAAACCTTACTTGAAAGTAAGATCTTCACTGCCCTAAAGTGAAATTAGGAGATGGGAGTCATTGGGCTGAAGGCTCAGGTTTGTCCCCATTTCTCTTTCTGATTTTTTCTCCTATTTGTATCCATCCAATGGAATATAGTGGCTAGCATTTGAAACATAAATTGTTTGCAACATCCTAAGGGCTCAAAAAAGAAAGAAAAAAGTCTATTGGTTTGCCTGAGGATGGGAGAAAGCATCTCCCTATGTCCTGTTTATCATCCTTTTTTGTAATAGTTTTAAGATCAGATTTCAAGAGCGCTAATACTGTACTGGTTTTACTTTCATTAGTTAAAGATGAATACCAGGATGTGTGAAAATGGCTTTCTCTCCAGAAATACATCCTGGTATTCATCTTTAACTAATGAAAGTAAAACCAGTACAGTATTAAAAGTGAAAAATGGCTCTCTGGAGAGAAAGCCTAAAAACACTAAAAGTGTGAAAAGGGATGATATGATATTCTGTTATCACAATATTGCTGACCCATTGAAAGAAGAAAAAACTTTTAGCATAGTTGCTACTACAACAACATCTCCTGCAAAGATAGAAATGGCTAGTTATCCTTTCCCATGCTTCAGGCATCTTCTGTATCACCTGCTACTTAATTTTTCTCCTTTTACAGACAGTGCTGGCATTTATGCCACAAGAAAAATAAATTGAATTCAAAACTTTCTGAGCAGGGCAGGTCCTAGCTACAAGTTCAAAATACTCCAGTTCGAGTTCATGACCATTTTTCTGACTTTTCTGTCATATCCTTATGCTGTTTTGACCAATTTGCAAGTATCTGAAACTTGAAACATCCCCATTGCAAGATCCAAAGCCCCCATTCTGAACACAAATTAGAACAATTGAGCATGAAACACTTCTGGAATGGCTGGAACAGTATTGGGATGCTTCCAGTAATGCTGGAACAACCTGTCTCGAATTTGAAGCAAGTATTGTGAGCTCAGAAGAGCTCATTTAGAACTTTTCTATTACTTGACCTATGAACTCAGAGTGGGTATTTCATCACACCAGTATTTCTCACAGTGTGTAGTACATTCAGTGCATGTGTGTTTGTAGGGCATCTTCTTAACCACTCTTGTGAAAAGAACACAAGCTACTTGCTGCAAATCCTGATTTCAGTTTCAAAAATTAACTTCCTGGGTGGTCTTTGAGAAAAACAACCTCATTTCAAATCCAGTTGGTGATACAGCAAAATTAACTAGTCTGTAGAATGCCATGATGACAGTGCTAATATATTTAATATTCAGCCATCTAGATTAAAGTGAATAGGTAACTAAAATACAGCTATGAGGCAGGAGCATAAATCCCATAGCTGTTTATTTGAACTTCCTTTTGTTTATTTGAAAGAAACACAATTGTAACATAGGCTTGATTTCTTGCTACTAAAATAAATGTTATCCTTTTAGTGCCACCATATTTTATAATGTTCCTTTTTTGGGAGGGAAGGTTTGAACTAAACAATGTCATATATGTTAATTTTATAATATTAATGTTTCAAAGTGTCTAGTATTTATTCCCAATAATGCGAATTTATGACTGAAAGTTATTAGCTGGTGTTGAGCTTATTATGCATTGAGTTCTTTCCAAGAATCTAGAATGCTGAAATGTATCAACATAGTATATGTGCAGATCCAAGCAATATGGCCTTTTGCAATTGAAGGAAATTTTTCAATGTACAGGTTTTCCATGTGCCATCCACTAGTATTGATGTGGCATGGCCAGTTTATGCCATAATCTTTCAATTTCTATTTTCAGATCTTGATACTTTATTATCTTTTCCAATTCTTTGTCTTTTTTTTTTACTGTCCCCTAGAATTGCCACATCAATTATCCACACTTTCTTTCTTTCAACTACAGTTATATTTGGTGTGTGATGAGCCAAGATTTTATCAGTCTGTATTCATAAAACCTACAATATTTTAACATTATTATTATTACTTATTTTAATCATTAAAACATGAAAGTCAACTGAACATTTAAAATGTATCACAAATATTATTGGCTGTCACTGATGATTGATATGGGTTGCTGCCGGCATCCTAGGTATCAACCCAGTACCTTCTTAAGATGTACAATGTTCTGAGTAGCACATTTTTTTGCAGTTCCACTGGTGTTATTGCAGGAAACTGCAATTTCTTGATGTTTTTTATAAAAATCTTGGACATGGCACCAAGTGCCCCAATGACAGTGAATATCACTGTTACATGTTTAATCCATAATGACGTAGTTTTGATGGCCAGGCCATGACATTCCATGATTTTTTCCCCCAGTTCTTTTCTTTGACTCTCGTGTCTCCTGGTACAGCAATATCAATAAATTGTATGCTTTGGTTTTTCATTTTTGATGACTTTTTCCACATCATATGGAATAATAATAATAATAATAATAATGAGGAGGAGGAGGAGGAGGAGGAGGAGGAGGTGGTGGAAGTGGTGGTTCTTGGTTGATACCTAGGACACTGGCAGCAACCTGTATCAACCATTAGCACCAGTCAGTGGTATTTGTGATGCATTTTTGAATGTTTAGTTGACTGAGTTTCATGTTTAATGAATAAAGTTAATAATAATAATAATAATAATAATAATAATAATAATAATAATCACCTGGACATCACCTGGAAAAGACCAATTACATGGTTTCTGGCTCAAATAT